CGGAAAGCCAACCTGGAGTCTGGCGCTCCATCCCAGGACCACGGGCCTCAACAGAGGGCGCATCGCCACTGAGCTAACGAAGGGGGCCGCCAAAGGGGGGAGTCGCCTCAGCCTGGCCCGGGGTGGGGGCTTTCCACATGGGGGGCTCCTTTTAATGCGTGTGGCAAGGACGGGTGGCGGAGCCGAGGCCTCCTCTTCAAGAATATCGGCGTGCGGAAGAAGGGAGAGAGCGCAGAGAGCCGACAGCACGCGTCCCCCTCATCCCCGGGCTCCGTCCTGCGCACCGAGACATCAGCCACGTGCCTGGTGACTGGCAGAAACCCGTCAGGCGCCCCCAGACAACTCGGGCACCATGTGCGCCGCCTGCTCACGATGCAGCAGGGCCCTTGCGGGTCGGTGGAACCGGAAGGGGAACCGGGAGGAGGAGGAGGAGGCGCCAATGGCCACGCTGCTGCAGAGCTTGTGTCCTGGCTCCTGGGGGACTGGCCCCATTCTGGGGGCAGCACAGCCCAAGAGCAGGCGGAGCAGTTGACGGAGCTGGACTGTTAATCTGGGGGCCGCTGCCTGTTCGAAGGAGAGACCCAAAATAAAGCGCGTGGCAACTCTCTTGGCACAGGTGTGTGTGGCTTCCTCCAGGCACGAAGATGTGGGCTACTTCGCAGGGAATCAAGCGCAGCTCAGCCGCGCGTCCTGCCTGAGCCCAGCCCGGTTCTCCTCGGACTGGCTTGCCCAGTCTCTTGCAGGCTCCTGCTCCCTGGGGGTCTGGCTGCATGGACCGGGCACTGCGACTGAGCCGTGGCTTGTCCCGTTATCCTGCTCGGTCCAAGGCGGGAACACCCCTGCGTCCTGAGGTGCACGGCCATCTTCACGAGCAACGTGAGGCAGGCCGCTTCCTCCTGCCCAAGCGCGTGGGTTGCACGAGCAACAGAACCCCCGGCTCCACCAGCTTTCAGGAGTGTGAGATCTCTTCCATATTTCAAACGTTAAAACCCCTTTCCAGTACACCTTGGCTTTGCAGTCTTCTTGGAAGACCTTCCAACAATGCATTAGGACTGTGCAAAGAGCATTTCTCCCCTGCGGCTTAATCCTCTCTCTTCTCCTTCCTTCCCAAGGGGAACGAAGCACACGGTGAGAAAGGCTGAGATGGGCAAGATGAGGGGGGGAGGGGAGGGGAGGGGACTTCCGCAGGTCCTTCAAGTTTGGCCAGTCTCAGAAGTCTGATGAAGCAGAGCGAGCGACGAAAGAGCTGCAAGGTGGCCACTCGAGATCAGCCAAGAACCCTCGAAGCTACTCAGAACAGAGCCTCAACCGTGCTTGCATGCGGTGCTCGTGTTGGCACTTCTGTGGAGCTGCGGAGGCTGAGGTGGCCCCGCATCCCGAGAACGCCCGGCGCTGTTCTCCGACTTGGCACGAGTGTGTGCGGGGTGCATGTGATTGCAGGAGCGCCTTTCTCCTGCCTCCACGGAGCTGAGGTACGACAGAAGGATCTCAGAACGCTGGAGAAATGACGCCTCCGCTCTGCAGGCCCCTTCAGCCTGCCCACCTCCAAGAGCACACCTGCCAAGCAAGGCCTGTTCTACGCCTCCCCAGCAGGGAGGAGGCCTTGGGGCCCACGGGCGGCAGGCCCACGCGGGTCTCGCAACTGTGCCTCGGTTCTTGCAGTGGCCAGTCATGACTTGGGCAGGCCGGAGTTACACCCTCGTGCGTACATTGGGAGGAGAGAGAACAGGAGGTTTCGGCGACCCAAGCAGACACCCGGGGGCGGCAGGGAGACAAGGGAGCAGGTCCCTCCATCCTCGGCTGAAGCACCTCTCGCTCCGTCAGGCCTGCAAACCCGTGCGGGCCTCCATCCATCACGCTTGCCAGGGGCCAGGGGGATGGAGCTCGGGTGAGGCCCGCGCCTGCCATGTTGGGAGCGACGTCTCTTCGAGGCTGACAAAGCCCTTTTGTGAGCCTGAGCCGCTGTCAACAGCCGCCGCGAGGGAGGCGGGAGACCTCCGTGTCGGAGGATATCGATCGCCACATTAGCCGGTCGCACCTTTGCTCGGCGATAGCCCACGTGGCTTCCCCTCTCCAGGGCAGCCACGTGCCTGTCAGAGCGCTGCAGGCGTGGGCTGTGGGGAGGCGCCCAGAGACCCCCCGCAGGAGCAGCCCAGGGAGGGCCAGGTCCCCGTGACCTATCAGGTTGTCCTAATCCAAGAGCCGCCCAACAATGGCACACGCCGTGATCCAAGCCTGGCCACTGGCTGGTTTTACATTCGGTGGCTGTGCCACTGCGGGTCCAGACGGGTTGCCCAGCCTGGCGGCCACGCTCCTGGGGCCCGGCCGTAGAAGGGCCTTTCCCAGACCTCCCCCAGCTCCTTCCACATGGACATGGCAGCAATGGACGCGCACGCAGAAGCGGGGGGGGGGGGGGGCTTTCCGTGCCAGTGGAACGCTGTTGCTGGCACACGGCCCGCCATCATGAGCCGAGCGCGGCTCAGCACCGCCCCCACAATGCTGCACGGGAGGGTGAGCCCCATTTCGCCGAAACGCGTGGCTTGGAAGAGGAGAGAGAGGCAAACCTGCAACTGCCACGCCGGGCTCTCTCTTCCTCCCCGCCCGCCCCCGAGTGCCAGAGAATGATGGAAGCGCGGGCACTCGCTGCCAATGAAGAGCACCTGCACGGAGCCGCTGGTGCCGAAAAGCACCGCAGCAGGCCACGCTCGGGTCCGCTGGCAACCCCATCAGGGGCGTTTTCACCTGGGAAGAGGCGGGGGGGCAACAGGCGGCCGTGCCCAACGCTTGCCTGAGGTCTGGCTTGCACGCCAGGGCTGCACTTGACTCCGGCGGGGAAGAAAGACGCAATGGGCGGCTGTGGAATGGCAGACATGGCCAGGGACCTGCTTCCGAGCAGGTATCACGTGGCCTGCCAGGGCTGGACCGGAGAAAGGTACCTGTCTGCGCACGGAAACACCTGAGAGTTGCAGGACGGGGCAGCCATGAATAAGTTATCCCTCTCCTTGCATAGGGAGATAAACCAGTATGGGCCGCAACCATCTCTTGTGCTGAAGGGCACTCAGTCACGGCTGCCGGGACTCCCTGCACTATCAGCCCTCGGAGGCCCAGAAAAGAGTGGCTTCGGCCTTCCGGTGAGGGCACCGTGAGGGAACGCCACCGCCCTCCCCACAGGCAAGGGAGCTGCTCCCTTCCTTTGCCCAGCCTGGCTTCTCACCTGCACGGAGACGGAAGAGGGGCGTCTTGAAAGGGTGAGCAGCAGAGCTCACCTCTGCCAGGTAAGAAACCCCGTCTTTCCAAGCAAGGGCCCCGACCTGGCAGGCTGCTTCCCACCTGTGCAGGATGTAACAGGAAAGGGGCCCCTGCGCTTCCGTGTCTCCAGCAGCTGAGGCCCCGCAGGCTCCACAGAGCAGGACCCCGCGAGTGCCAGGCGCTGCCTGCTGTCTTCGGCAGCATCGTTACGGCATTGCATTTCTGGCCTGCCTTGTTTCTTCTTGTGAGGAACCCAAGGCAGCTTACCTAGCGCCATTTTATCCTCACAACGACAACCCTGTGAGGTAGGCTGGGCAGAACGGCTCCCTCAAAGGCGGCGAGTCACCGCCCCGTTCACAGCATCACCAGGTAGGCCTGGGAAAGGGCCGCACCTGAGCCCGGAGGAGCTGCCCGTCACTGAGCACAATGTGACCAGAGCAATCCAAGCCCCTCTATGCGCCACGGAGCTCACGCGCGGACATGCACGCAAAGCGACTGACTCCAGATTAGGCCCCTCAGACAGGCAGGTGTGGGTGGAATCGCCACTCTGCAGAGCATCCCTGCGCATGCCTACTCTCAAGGAGGCCCCTGCGCATTCACTGAGGCTTGCTTCCAGGCGCACAGGCATAGGATGGTGGCCTGCCATCAGGAGGAGGGGGCGGCATAGGAAGGCAAACATAGAATAAATAAATTCAAATAAATAACAGGGCTTGTCTTCCACACAAACCACATGCCAGCCCATTGCCAGACCAGCAAAAAGGTTATTGTTTTAACCAGGCTTTGGACCTTGGGGTGGTTAATTTGGCCCTACTGAAAATGTCCTGAGTGTTGGGGTGGGGAACCCGAATGCAGCCGGGC